CTACTTCCGTAGTGATACTGCCTCGGAAACCCAAGGAGGGGTCGCTATGAGTCAGGGCTGACTCGACGGCACATAACAACACAACAACAACAACAATGGTCAGGTTGCTGCCCCTGATCAGTGGGACTCTGGCTCTTTTCTTCCTCTGGTCCAGGATTTTGACACCTTCTTTAGGGCTAAAGCCTGTGAGAGGAATTAGCAGAGAGAGGGGAGATTGGATGGGAGTGAGGGGCCTGGGAAGTTCTTGAAATCAGTGATCTGCAAACCTGGTTGCACACTGAAATCACATAAGGAACTTTTAAAAAATATTAAGGCCTAGGTCCTACCCTAGAGATTATGATTTAATTGATCTTGAGCTTGGCTCTGGCATGGATATTTATAAATGTTCTTTGAGAAATTCTAATAAGCAGACAAGGTTGAGAGCACTCCCTTTGATGGTGAAACCTTTGAAGGCAGCAAATGTAACTGACCTCACCTTAATGTTCCCAATACCTGGTACATAGTCAGTCCTTGGTTTGTGTTGGATTAATTAATGCCTTTGCAATAATTAGAAGATGTCTATTTATTCAAATCATGGACATGCTGGCCTTTTGCTTTCAAGCCAAAAAAGACTGGTTAGTGAACAGCTAAACAGGGCCAGGGCTAGGTGCCTCATTTAAGGAGGTGCTCACTCTTGGGATTACACAACTGCAGAGCTGACACCTGAAAGTGAAAAACAGCCTTGGTGCCTCACTTTCCTCCCTCTAGTCCCTGCCTTGCCTCTAGTAACTAGTAGATCAGAACAAACAAACCTACTTAATAAAGAAGTCTTGACTTTCAACATTTGAAGCTACAAATGGAATGGGATTATAGTGAGAAACCACCACATTTGTTTTAATCAATTTACCATGAACAGCCGCTAGAAGTTAGAAGTTACCTGAATCTGGCTGTATGCTGTCACCTGGGTCAGCTACCATGTTCATACACTGTAGTATCTATGAGAAGTACCAAGCTTCAGATCCCTGGGCCTTACCTGTAGGACTCCAATTCAATAAGTCTGGGTGGGGCCTGGGAATCTGCATTTTAACAAATACTGGGGGGTGATTCTGATGTAGGCAAACCTCTAACTGAACTTTGACAAACATCCCCATAGACCATGGAAGGGGCTTAGAAAGCACCTGACCCAAGAATTTTCAACAATGGCTGAACAAAAGAATCTTCTTCAAAATACTGATGCCTAGTCCCCACACCCAGAGATTATAATTCCATTCATCTGGGATGGGACCCAGGTGTGAATACTTTTTAAAGCAAATGAATCCAATGTGCAACTGAAAATTGAGAACCCTTGATCTTGTCCTATGCCCTAATTTTATAAACTGGAAAGCAGGGTTCTTGAGAGGGGAAGTGTTTTGCTCAAGGCCACACAGCTAACTACTGGCCAGAAATTAGAAGCCAGTCTTTGCAGTTTGGATTAGGCATTAAGATTCCCTAGTCAGAAAGAGGCTGGTTCTGAGGTCTCCTGAGTCACCAAAGTCAGAGTTTGTCTTTGCGGGGGTGTTCAGTGCCTGACTTCTGACCAGAAACTCCCCTGCAGCCTGGTACGATGAGCCCTGGTCCAGCCAGATGCTGCTGGGAGCCACACTCACCTAGGGAGGCCAGCACAGCCACGGCCACCAGGAGCAGGGCCAGGAAGAGGTAAAGGATCCGCACAGACGTGTGTAAGGACAGATTCCTCTGGCAGCGGCTGCAGCGAGGCCCCGGCTGGCCTGTGGAAGGGACAGATGAAGGGAAGGGGCTTAGGCCAGTGGCTGAGACTGCAGCTAAAGGGTTCCATGTTTCTCCTCTCTGGCCTGTCTCATCACATTTCATAGCAGGCTCAGAAGGGAAACTGATCTCAACTCTCAGTCTTGTTTCCTTTTTGCTCAGTTGTAGAGTTTTCAAAGAATAGAATAGACAATAGATATCATTCAGCACATGAGGTGGGGGGTTTGTTTCTTTAGATTAACCCATCATATAATGTGCTTGACTGCTAACCAAAAGGTTGGGGATTTGAGTCTACCCAGAGGCTTCTGAAGAAGGGCCTTGTGATCTACTTCCAACAAATCAGCCATTGAAAACACTACAGAACACAGCTCTACTCTGACACAAATGGGGTCACCATGAATTGGAATCAACTCCATGGCAAGGGGTTATAATTCACAACACAGGTGGGCCAGGCTTGTTTCACTTTAGGTAATCAGTTCATCTTGGTTTGCCCTGGACTTCCTGGGTTTTTAACATAGAAGGTCTCATGTCATGAACCCCTTGGTCCTGGGAAAATCAGTAAAATTGATCACCAAGTTCTCAAACTGTGTTGGTAACCATCAGTTCTCCTGGAAATCAAATGAGTGCTACAGTCCACCAGTTGGGTCTTTGGCATGGAGGAAGGAGAAAGCCAAGTATGCCTTTCTACTCTGGTACATGGCCAGTGCTTAGCAGGAAGACTCCAGGAATTCAGTGATGCCCCTAACTGTGAAATTCCTAAGCCTAGCTCACCTTTGCTGCCCATCATCTGGGAGCATCTAGAAATCCTGGCACCCAGTTCACACTTCAGTTTGAACTAAATAAAAATTTCTGAGGGTTGAACCCAAGTATCAGTACTTTTTTTTTTCTTTTTAATTCCCTGGGTGATTACAATGTGCAATCAAAGCTGGAAACAATGGCTGTAGTCTACACTGAGAGTCCCTACTCCAAATAACAGCTCAGATGGCATTTGTTCCTCAGATTAACTAAATGCCAAGCTTGGCTCTGAGGGTCTGAGGAGAAAGATGAGCCAATTAAGTGGCAAGGGATATGACTGAAAGTGGATATTTCTGAGCCAGCTAAAAGGTGTAGAGACTGGATGCCTAGCTAGGGGAGCAGGCAGAGGTCATCGACAGGCTGTAGGAGGAGCCCTTTCACTTGTATCAAGCTTTGACTTTATCTGTATCACAAAATCCAGGACCAACCAACTCTGCCCCTTCACCCTCCAGCAAGCAGTGGGGAAAGGACAGCCAAGTTTCTAAAATCACATATCCCTGGGGATGGAGGCAGAGAGGAGAGGAGAACAGAGGGCAGAGGAAAGCCTTCAAACTCTTACCGTCCTGTGTGCATGGGAAGGATGGCATGTCTTCATCTTCACCAGCCATTTCCTCTTCTGTAACACATAACGCATCTCCATCGCCGCCGTCTGACCTCACTGTGATGGAGCCAGTGCCGTCAGACCCAACCTGGGGCCCCAAGCCTAAGCCACACCCCCCCTTCTCCAGCTGCCCTATTCATTGACCAGTCCCCACACCTCCATGCCCACCCCTGCCAATGGGTCCAAGTCAGCCCCCTGAAGTATCATGTGAGCTGACTATAAACAGAGAAAAGGCTGTGGGCGGGGGCATGGGTAAGAATCAAGTGACTGAGGAAACGGGATGTACAAGCACCTCTGGGTAAGGATATTTCATGATCTCTCACAAGCTGGTAAAGAAACACAGGCCAGGCCAGATACTATATCTACACTTTGCTTAAACAACTTGGAGTGGAGTAAGAAGAAATAAGAGTTGGTTTGTTTGATCTTGCTCAACACCCTTCCATTTGGCAACACAATGGTGACTAAAGCAGCACTCCTCTTCTCTAGAAGGGTGAATGTGGCCCATGGCAGACCCACCACAACTCTGGGTCTCACCCAGCTGTGGGGCTACAGAGAGTAGAAAACTATGAGGGGAGCAGATTCAAGAGGAGCACACACCTCTGTCTCTGACTACCACCTAGACCCTCTGGTATATCTGAAGGAACAGGGGGTAATGCAACTCTCAAGTCTGAAGCCCAGTTCTGTGTTTGATTATAATAACATGTAAATTATGTATTCCCTCATTCAGAAGACTGTTCAAGTCCCCTATACACATCACACCTCCCCCCTGGAAGACCTAGCTTTTTGTGAACAATGAGGAAGAAGAGGAATAAAATATGGCAGAATGAAACAAATCCCCAGGAGGACGTTCAAGGTGTAAAAGGTTATCTGGACTAAGCTGACTTGGGCTTTTGTTCTAGGAAGTGGTGGATGGAAGCTGATGATGAGAATTACATTCTTTGAGAGATATCTGTGGAGGGGATTTTTAAAACGATGCCTCAAAACCCAGAGGTAATAAAAGAAAAGTTTGATACATTTGACTGCATTGAAAAAAACAACAACAAACTTTTGCATTGCAAAAACAACAACAACAACAAAATGTCAAAACTCCATAAGTAAAGTCAAAAGACAAATGACAACCTGGAAGAATATATTCATAACAGATATCACAGATAAAGAGCTGACAGACCAAGTTTATAGAGAGTTTTTAAAAACTGAGGATACAAAGGACCAAAAATCCTATAGGAAAATGAACAGAAGACATGAAGAGACAAATCATAAAAAGAGATATACTAATTTACTAGTGTCCTCCTCCTAATGTACTATTATTCAAATTTACACACCAATCACTAAAACCAAAGATGAACAAATTAAAATTTTTACCAACTTCAGCATTCTGAAATGGACCAACCATGCAATCAAGATACATTGATAATTATTGGTTATTTTAGTGTGAAAATGGAAACAAAGAAGAAGCATTGGTAGTTGGTAAATATGGCCCTGGTAACAGAAATGACACTGGAGATTGCATGACAGAATTTTGTATGACCAATGACTTATTCATTGCAAATACTTTTTATAAACAACATAAATGGCAACAGTACATGCGTACCTTTCCAGATGGAATGCACAGGAATTAGATCAACTATATCTGTGGAAAGAGACGATGGAGGAGGTCAATATCATCAGTTGGAGCAAGGCCAGTGTCTGACTATGGAACAGACCATCATATGCAAGTTTAAGTTGAAGCTGAGAAAATTAAAACAAGTACACAAGAGCCAAAATATGACCTTAAGTATATCCCATCTGAATTCAGAATCCATCTTAAGAATAGATTTGATGCACTGAACACCAATGACCAAAGACCAGATGAGTTGTGGGATGACATCAAAAACATTATACATGAAAAAAGCAAAAGGTCATTAAAAAGACAGGAAAGGAAGGGAAAACCAAACTGGATGTCAAGTTCTGAAACTCACTCTTGAATGGAGATTAGCTAAAACAAATGAAAGAAATGATGAAGTAAAGGAGCCCAACAGGCTTCAAAGGGCAGCTCAAGAGGACAAAGTAAAGTATGATGAAATGTGCAAAGATCTGGATTAGAAAATTAAAGGGGAAGAACATGCTTGGCATTTCTTAAGTGGAAAGAATTAAAGAAAATATTCAAGCCTCTAGTTGTGATACTGAAGGATTCTATGGGCAAAATATTGACCTATGCAGGAAGCATCAAAAGAAGATGGAAGGAGAGGAGTTCCAGCAAGATGGCAGACTAGGCAGAAAGACTGCATAGACCTCTTCAACAAAGAAAAGGGAAAACAATTAACACAGACACAGAAGATAATCCTGGACCTCTGAGCCTTGAAGAGAAGGATATAGAAGTGGACTAAACCCCAACTAGCAGAAGAATTCGTGTGAAAATACCAAAAAAGGAGACATATGGAGCTGTGGTCTAGCAGTGGTCGTGAGCGATCCTGATGGCACAGAAAGCTTGGAGATTCCCGAGTGGTGGTAGGAC